GTAGAATGTAGATATGGATAGGGAGTATCACAAACCAGCAACAATGGGTCCACAGTCTCACGTATTTCAGAGGTGAAACTTTCTGTATCACACACTCTCGGTGTTAATAAATTCTTTTGAACAAAATAACGCTTCCTTTGGATTTGAAAGCGTTTTTGACGACCGTCTGCATTAGCCCACAAGATTTTGACATTAATCTAGCCCCGGGTTCAACATCGCCTTAATTTAAAGCACTTGACATTTCGCAAAAAAACAGCAGAAAAATGAAAATATTAGGTAAGGTGTCCACCATTAATCTAATGCGACTCTGTCTGGTTGTTAATTTGTTTTGGCTTCGATGGAGTATTTCGAAATGCCTTTCTTAACCGAGGTAAAATATGGTGGGATGTTTCAATTATCGGACGAAGATTGATTATAGAATTTTGGAGTTAACATCTAATTAGTAGCCTTTCTTTTTACAATTGGATATTTGATATCTTGAGTGCAGTATAATAATATGTTGAATTCGCATGGATTAGGTGTTTGCATATTCTGCCAGCTGATATTTCTGCCAAGAAGTAATTGCCAGTAACTATACTTGGCATGGGCTTGGCAACTATATTTGACTTGAGGAGCTCACTGCTCATTTGGTCCTAAGTGGCGGGGAGAGCCTGCCGAAATCGAAATGTAAATGCCACTTACTACCATAAAATCCTGGCTACTTCAAAATAAAGTCGATATGAACTCTTAAAACTAGTCACTAGCTCTAATATAGGCAAGCTATAGGAACTTATGCATACAGACGGTCATGTTCATAATATTTGATATGAAATTTCAGGCAAATATCGAGGGTTCTGGGGAATATTACATTATTTTGAATGTTCGCCAATCAGATACCAGTTTCAAATGTTTGATAACTCTAAAATAAAACGGGAAGGTACTGGAAGATACCCATTTGAGTGACACAGAAAATCTTATGTAAAATTAAGTGTAAATAAATAAATCCCACGTATATTTTGAATGTCAAAGTTTGTAAACATTGTTGGATGTTTGTAATTTTTCATGAAAAAACTGTTGTACGGATTTTTATGAAACTTCGTACAAATATAGTTTGTAACCTGGATTGAGACGTATGATACTTTTATGCTCCTAAACAACATGATCTACTTATATCTACTTGAATGAAGACAACACTGTGTCTGTCAGCTTGTTCCGGGTTTTATGTACCAACGAATCTAAAAATCGACTGGTACATAAACTATCAGTGGCGTTCGGCAAAACAAAAACCTTGCTCTTGCAGAATGCGAATTTATTCTGTTTAGCCGACTTTAAAAAAGGAAGTTGTCAGTTCGAATCTTTTATTTTACCCATGTGTGTGCGTCCACTGAATTTCTCGCCGGATCTTCTCAGTGGGTCGCGTATCCGGTGGTAGATTCTGCGAAGCACTGCTCTGGTAGGATCAGTGTTAGTATCACTCTGGTTTGAGCCCCGTGAGCTCACCTACTAGTTAAAGTTACGCTGAAATAGCCTCTCAAGGCTATCAGCTTAGGTAGGGAAAAAAATGTGTGTGCTCTATTTGGTGAACCGATTTTGATGATTCTACTATATTTTTATTTTAAAACTGGTCTTATTATTCAATTGACTTCGACCACATTGATGGTATTCTTATTTCATTTTGTTGATATTAGTTTTTTTTTGATTTGTTAGATGGGCGGACGATCTCACAGCCCACCTGGTGTTATGTGGTTACTGGAGCCCATAGACACTTACAACGTAAATGCGCCACCCACCTTGAGATATAAGTTCTAAGATCTCAGTATAGTTACAACGGCTGCCCTACCCTTCAAACCGAAGCGCATTACTGCTTCACGGCAGAAATAGCCAGGGCGGTGGTACCTACCCGCGCGGACTCACAACAGGTCCTCCTACCACCAGTAAAAAAGCCAGCTCCAGTTTCCTTTTTTGTAATCTTTGTGCCCAGTAAATAAATAAATCCGAAAATCAGTGATCTTTATAATATTTATACGGACATCATTGGTAGAGTAGCCTCATATTGTTTTCTCTTCTAATTTAATTTGTCGTTTTTCCCGTTTTCATTGCTAGTAATTTGCAGTCTATACAGGATGTCTCATAAAGGGCTAGTGAAGTAGAAAACTGTACACAGTATTCTATTAGACTAAGCGATCCGGCGTAACAAAACAGTTCCCAATTAAATGTTTCCGGAATAAAGACTACTCAAACACAATAAACAAACTATTCTTTTGCCGAACCTATAATATAATTATGTTTTACGCAAAACACCTTAGATATGATTCGTGGTAATAAATAACGATAGCCAAATAATATCAAAATGGGCGAATTTGTGTTTTTTATTGCTTAGATGGGTGGACGAGGTCCCGGTCCACGTGATGTTAAATGGTTACTGGAGCTCATGGAAAAGCCGCCATCTACCTTGAGACATGAGTTATAAGGCTCAGTTTTTAAGGTACAGCGGCTGCTCCACCCTTCAAACTTAAACGCATTACTGCTTACAATAGAAATGTGCAGGTTTCTGCAGGATAGCCACCAGAGCACCACGGTTCCTGAGGAACGTGGATCTCCACGACGACCGGGATCTCGACTCCGTCAGTAAGTATCTACAGTCGGCGTGGCTGCGCCACTTTGAGAAGGCAGCACGACATGAGAACTCTCTTGTCGTGGCCGCTGGAAACTGCATACCCGATCCTGTAGACCGAATGGTAAACCGCCGACGTCGACCAAAGCACGTAATTACGGATCCTACTAATCCATTAACGGTGCTTTTAGGCACCACAAGCACCGGTCACCGTCGAACCCGTCGCGTCGCTTGCGACGAAGGGCTCGACTAGCGAATTAACCCATAGACACAGCCCACTGAGTATCGCGCCGGATCTTCTCAGTGGGTCGCGTTTTCGATCCGCTGGTAGATTCTGCGAAGCACTGCTCTTGCTAGGGTCAGTGCTAGCAACACTCCAGTTTGAGCCCGGTGAGCTCACCTACACACGTTAGGGCGAAGCCGAAATAGCCTCTCAAGGCTATCAGCATAGGTAGGAAAAAAAAGTACGGGGTACTTACCTACCCTTGTGGCATCACAAAACGTCCCAACGCAACGCCAGGAAGTAAACCTATCAAAACTCGAACGGATAGTGCACACTGAATTATACAAACAAAAAAATTCTCAACAGTATTATTGTATAAAGGACATGGGCCACTCTGCATACATCGCACGGCCCACTAAACGAAGTTCAAGGACAGTAATGAAATTAAGTTTAAATAACAGACTATATATCCATTTTATTATAAACAAATTAAAATCAATATTGTTCATGGAGATACAGAGATAATTAAAAAAATAAGATAAGAATTTTAGGTTATATCATATGATTTTGCTGTCAATACACTGACACTTTAACATCATCATCAACTTAAATATTATTTATATTACTATACTTTATGACACAGATCTAATTCAATGAACGCCAAGACTTTGATGACGATCATAGAAAAGTATAAATGCTCATAATTGAGGCCTATAAAATCAATGGCAGCTAAATCCAAGTTTGTCAAATATTCAGGTAATCTACAAAAATCGGCCCTAAGCATTTCATTACGGATCCTCCCGATCCATCGAAGTACTGCTCTTGCTAGGGCCAGTGTTAACAACAGTCCCGGCTTAAGAAGCTGAAATAACTGTTCGGATAGCTACGATATTCTTTATTTTAAAGCAGATTTATAAAGAATGACAATATTACTAATAATCTGAATTTTAAATGATAAAACTTCTTTTATTAGTACTTAGTACAGAGTAAAAATAAAATTTTTGAACTGAATTTGTTAGAGATTTAGCTGCATTTGTTATAACATGAAAACACTAAAGCGTGTCCAACTAACTAAATAAGATAGAGCCATTGTTAATCCATTTAACGACATTAAGGCGTTTAGCTGCCTTTGATTTTATAGGCCTCTATTATTACACCACAATTCAAACATCTAAGTCCTTCCATTATGCACGACAAAATATAATAAGCAGGTATATCGCAAAGAAACACTTAATAATATCCACAACACGCACGAGTGATCAAATTTTAATGTAAAACGTCAATAAACATTAAACAAGCGTAGTTTTTTTTTTTGCTTAAGATCAATAATTATTCATCCATGTAATGATTTATTCTACGGATGTAAAAGTATAAAAATATATTTTTGTTTAGATAATAATATAATATGTTATATTAATTTTAAAATCCATTAATTAAATATGTTAATATATTTTGCTAGTTTTTTGCAATATAATGTTTTTTTCACAAATGATTTAATGTGAATTGTTTAAAGTATAAATATATTTTACCTATAGCGACTCCTTCAATATTATCAATGTAGCTTAGTCATGCTAATTTATTTTTATTTATTATATGATATTAATTATCCCACCATTAAATTTCTCTTATAAATAAGTATGTAAAAATGAAATGTTTTTTTTCTATAGATACTTCATTAATGTCCTTGAGAGCACGAGTAGCTGGGCCGAAAATGGCCCATGTCCATGTAGTACATTACCTATGTCGAAGAGAAATGTGTTTTTATGCATTCGTTCTCTGAATTTCTTTAGTGACACAATTGCTACTCCTTTGTTTTGTATCAAAACGGCAGAATTTATTCAAAATAATATTTGCACGTGTTGTTCAACAATGTGTTAAAATTTTTCACCGAAATAAGAATAGATCCCGAAAAGTTAGAAATTGTTAATTTCTGCCATTCTCGTTAACTAGCTGCGGCGATATGTGGTGTAAGTGTTCCATTAGTGATTTTTTCTTTCATTTCTATCACTAACCCACAAAATGACAAAACTAAATACAGTATCGATAACGTTTATCGACAACAATAATGCGCATCACAATGCACGTCCATGAGGCTCGTGAGTGTAAGAGAGAGCGAAATACTCGCTTCACCGCTCCGATTTTTTATGACCCAAACTGCACGGACAAAATAATTCTACTATAGATGTGAACACGACTCTACTTCTCTACAATTAACTATATATACTTAAATACTTTCAGCACTCAGTTACATGTATTTAGTATAACTATGTACCTTAATTATTACTGTCTTCGGTTATGGTGAGTTGTCGACATTTTTAAAGCTACTTTTACGCTTTTATCCGTAAAATACACGAAACGTAATATATAATACACTCTTAATGAGAATAAAAACATGACTATTAGATCGTATTTATTTATTTCAGTAGTTGAATCATCTAAGATGGCATTGACATTTTTAACGACACGTGTCCTGGTCTCAGAAACAAACTATGTAGTATCCAAGTTTTTTTTTTTTTTTTATTGCTTAGATGAATGGACGAGCTCACAGCCCACCTGATGTTAAGTGGTTACTGGAGCCCATAGACATCTACAACGTAAATGCGCCACCCATCTTGAGATATAAGTTCTAGGGTCTCAGTATAGTTACAACGGCTACCCCACCCTTCGAACCGAAACGCATTACTGCTTCACGGCGGAAATAGGCGGGGTGGTGGTACCTACCCGTGCGGATTCCCAAGAGGTCCTACCACCAGTAAAGTTCCTTTGTTTATAATTGATGAGACAATGTTAAGTAGTTAACTCTTGTTTTCATGTTATTTTCAAATATACTTTTTTTTTGTCGTACTGTTAACATATAAATTGAGCCTATTTTTCCGCTGTTTGTAAAATTGCTGTAACATGTCATAGTTTGTTATAAGAGATTGCTGTACATGCCTGTAACTGGCTTACATACCAGTACTTAATTATATACATGCTAATTTTAAGCTCGAATGTTTTGTGTGTATTGCTTGGTGTGTCTAAATAAATAAATAAAATAAGACGGATACTTTATAAATTTAATGGTAAATAGTTTTCGATTATGATAGCTAACAATTTAATACGGGCAGTTTTAAATTTTCGCCATTAAATTTGGTTTCAGAATCCCGATATATAAACGAGCATTTCTATTCACTCGTGAGATAAATCATTATTTTATCAGTCAACTACACTCTGTCCTGGCAGGCAAACGCGCTTGCCGCGATTGCCAAACACTTATAGTAAGTCCTCTTTGTTACTTTTCTTTCGATATCTTTATATTTTATTTATCTATTGAAGTTTATAGAACTTTATGTAAAAAGTTTATAGTGCTGGGCTTAACAACTAATGACGTGCTTTTATTGATCAGACTTATATATAACAGATAATACAAACGTAGCTTTCGTCATCTTTGTCCAAAACGTCCGTATAATTTGATAATGTGTACACGTGTCAAGAACACGACATAACGGTCACAGATAACACATTAACTTTGTCTTTATGGTTTTAATTCGTGCCATATTAAAGCCTGTTATTTATTTTATAAGTCATAATTAATTAGTGTGGAGGTATACGACAAAATGAAGATGTTCCACTGAGCGAGTGATATTGCTCGGTAGACCGACGGTTCAGATGTTATTGCTCGGAACTTGTATATATGCAAGCTTATCTTGAAAATGTCGTAACCAAGATTCAGGCATCTGTTAAATATCTTGTGCTATGTGATGGCTACGCATCATATTTATTTGAGTAACTCTGCCTTCAGCTGGAGCGATGATTTGGGATGGGTGGCCATCAGAAATGGATAAAGACATCCAAAGACCCCGTAGCGCGAGTTGGAAAAGGCCCATGTTCACCAGTGTAAAGCTTATAGTCTTCTACTTCTTATAACTACGCCAAGAAAATGCATTGAAGAGTTAAGCTCGTGTTCAGTTTTATTAAATGGCCGCATGGCATCGATCTAACCCGATCCTATCTCTTCTCAAAGGTGTGGTAAAACGCGGTTAATCCGCTGGAGAATGGCGGCAGCTTCCTCTGAGTATTATACCACCAGCACATTGCAATCTCCCACCGAACTGGTAGAATGTATTGTGAGCACGAATGAGTACCAACCTCCCACATCTTTATTCCATAAAGCCAACGTGTACTCCAGACTCGAACGCAGGGTAGCGAGTTCTTATTAACCCTTTTAGTGCTGAGCTTATAATCAAATATTTTGCATAAATGGCTAGAGATTTTTTGGGAAAAAAATGAAGAAAAGTCTCTTTTAAAATTTTACACAACAAAATAATTTAAAATTTCATAAAATTATTGATAGCGTTATATAATCCCTATAATAAAACTGCGCAAATAGTCGATATTCCGACGCTCCGTACTTTATACGCTCTATCGACGGTTCGCGCTCAAAGGGTCAACGAAGTATGACTTAATCAGACAATCACCTACAGCCTAATATTTCTACATATTTAAATACAGTATTTGATGGGTGGCTCGTCATTTTGTTTGGCCTCAAATGACGTCACACATGTTATATTTGCGCGACAATTTGGATCAACCCACTGAGTTTCTCGCCGCATCTTCTCAGTGGGTTGCGATTCCGACCCGGTAGTAGATTTAGCGAAGCAATTCTCTCAGATTGAGCCCGTGAAGTCACCAACGATTAGCAAAGGGAAAAAAATAACAATTTGGATAATCATGAAGTGGTCTATTCAGACTCATATTTCAAGAAGCTTAACACAAAATTCCCCGAAAGTTTCTCGAGTAACATAAAATTAATTGTTATCAGCCATTTTAATTGTTGCTCAGTGTAAATCCAGTTACGCTGTGTTTAAATAATAACAGGAGAATTAGCGGTGTTTGCGAACGCATTATATCTTAGCGGAGGTTTATGGGTATTATTTGCGTTGAAAGATTTGTTTTACCTTGGGGTTTTTCGTATTATATAATTACTTTAGGTGTTATTTTCCTTAGAAAACCTGTTAAGCATTTTATTTATATGTATGTCGGCGCAGTGCCAGGGATGGCTAAGCGGTAGTTTCCGTCATCACTCGTATTCGATTGAACTCAGTTTAGTCAATAAAACTTTTGAATAATAATTATTGAAACTCAACACACACAACTTTCACAATGACAGGGTAAACCGACAGTCTCGTTCCACATACCGACAGACCGACTGACTGACTGCCAGAGACTCACTGACTGAGACGGCCGGACCGTTCGATACGGACTGAATGACTGTCTGACACGGAATGCCACGACTCTTTTTTTTTTTTTATGATTGAAGGATTACTGGTGGCCCGGAGGCCTTTCCAGTTTCACCAGGACAGGTGGGCGAGCAAAGGCTCAGCCAGGAGGGGTGGGATTTGCTAACAGCTGCCCGAGCGCCTCCGAAGGAGACCTAACAACTCAAGAGTAGCTGCTTCGCGAATGAATCTNATTCTTAAGGAGTAAACTCCAAAAAAAAAAAAAAACTATACGTGAGACCTTAGAACTCATATCTCAAGGTGGATGCCTATGGGCTCCAGTAACCACTTAACACCAGGTGGGCTGTGAGCTCGTCCAACCATCTAAGCAATAAAAAAAAAATGATAACCTTGAGAGGCTATGTCACCGTAACCGGACGAGTAGGTGAGCGAGCTCACGGGGTTCAAACCGGGAATGTTGCTAACACTGCAAGAGCAGTGCTTCGCAGAATCTACCACCGGATCGGAAACGCGACCCACTGAGAAGATCCGACGAGAAACTCAGTGGGCTATTTCTATGGGTTAATTTACTCGTCGAGCCCTTCGTCGCAATCGACGGGTTCGGCGAGGATGGTGACCGCTGCTTGAGGTACTTAAAAGCACCGTTAATGGATCGGGAGGATCTGTAATGACCTATTTAGGGCGACGTCGACTGTTTACCATTCATTTACCGAGGATCGTGCTCAGTGGCGAGCAATTGGAGAGGCCTATGGTCCCGCAGTGGACTGCTATAGGCTGATGATGAAAAATGAGACTTAGACTTAATTTAAGTACGTGTTTGGTATACATCTGCCGGGAACGTGCTATGAGCTTCTTCGGACACATCATGCGGTCTCCTAGACATGAATTAGAGAAGCTCATAATTGCGGGTCGCATAGAAGGCAAGCACGCCGTAGGTAGGACACCAGCCAAATGGTCAGATCTGGTAAGGGAAGCACTAGGCGGTAGTCTGTACCATCCGGTCCATGCCACCCATGACCAAACACTGTGGAGGAATGTGGTCGCGATCTTCAACAGTGAGAGAACGTTATACAAGAAGAATACAACTGGAGCTCAAGCCGTAAATGGACGTATTTGATGGTTTTTTTTATTTCTTATGTGGGTTAACGATCTCACAGCCCACCTGGTATTAAGTGGTTACTGGAGCCCATAGACATCAACAACGTAAATGCGCCACCTACGTTGAGATATAAGTTCTAAGGTCTCAAGTATAGTTACAACGGTTGCCCCACCCTTCAAACAGAAACGCATTACTGCTTCACGACAGAACTAGGCACGGTGATGATATCTACCCGCGCGGACTCACAAGAGGTCCTACCACCAGTAAAAGATGTTTCAATTTTTAAATACCGCCATAATGCAGCTCTCTGTAATTGAGTCCAAAATCGATTTTATGTAGTGGAATATCTGCGGTCATCACGAGATTGCTCTCCCAACCGCGTTTTTATGTGATCGACTACCAAATTAACTTTTCCGTTTTCGCCATTTCCCAATGCATTTCAATGGTCCTGCTATAAATTCTCATTTACAGAAACGAATTGAAAATTATCGTTTTCATTCTCACGATTTGGATGTTTTGGTTCTTCGCTCGGTTATAATTTGGTTTTCCATTTCAAAGTGAGTTTATTGGAAATAAGTTCGTTTTGAGTCAAGATCAGTTGAAATACAGGCGAAATTTTGATGGAAAAGTTTCTATTGCATTAACTTTACAGTGAATAAAACCACAATGCCCGTCTTATTTTATGGGAAGTACAAAAAAGGCAAACCGTGCGGGCTTCTGCTTCCCGGTCTTAATTACGCAAACTGGGTATGATGATTGCGACTTCTTTGTCATCATTCCTGTTATATTATAATATATTTACTGATATTTTAAATGTAAATTTTGTTTATTTGTCCTTTTTCGACGCCAAAAGGAAGTATATTAATCCATACATAAATTATAATTTGCGTAATTACTGGTAGTAGGACCTCTTGTGAGTCCGCACGGATAGGTAACAAGTCCGCACGGATAGGTAACACCACCCTGCCTATTTCTGCCGTGAAGCAGTAATGCGTTTCGGTTTGAAGGGTGGGGCAGCCGTTGTAACTATACTGAGACCTTAGAACTGATGCCTCAAGGTGGGTGGCGGCATTTATGTCGTGGATGTCTGTGGGCTCCGGTAAATACTTAACACCAGGTGGGCTGTGAGCTCGTCCACACATCTATGCAATAAAAAACATGATTTTTTATGACTCAAAAAAGTAATCAGAATATTCTGATCTGATTGATCATCGAACAATTAGTATTTTATTTCGGTTTTCGTTCATCTGAATTGTGTGCTCTCAAACATAAGCATAAAAATAGTTTAACACATTCAATGCCTTGTAGGTCCGTGTCCTTGTAGGTACCGGTGTCCTACTCGAGCATTGAGCATTAAAGTAATTATTTCGATTTCTCTGTTTGATTTTCTTACTAAAGCGCCGGAATATCTAGTAGACTCTGGGAAAGATAAATCCAAAACTACTGAGAATGAATCTATTTCTAAGAGACCTTCAAGATATACATTAAAAACAAAAGAAGGCACAGTAAGGCAATCCAGAAGCTTAGTAAAAGAACTTAAGGCACCGGCTACCCACATGGCAGTCAACGTGTTAAATTAAAGTAAAGAAATATAAGAAGATCCCTATCATTTATCGTCAGGTTACTATTTCCCTGAATTCCTCTCAACTCGATTCCTAATCTTGTGTACAGGTGGCGTGTGATCCGAGTCTATCAGAGTTCGTATTTTTATAATATAATTTGCTGATCTGAAGAGAGGTTCCGATTCAACGCTTAGGGCTGCTCCGGGTATTTTCGCTAATAAGAACGCTTCGAATTCGTAGTAAACATATTGGTTTACTTTTTGACATCATTTTTTGTTGCAAAATTATAATTTGCGTAATCACTGGTGGTAGACCACCCCGCCTATTTCCGCCGTGAAGCAGTAATGCGTTTCGGTTCGAAGGGTGGGGTAGCCGTTGTAACTATACTGAGACCTTAGAACTTATATCTCGAGGTGGGTGGCGCATTTACGTTGTAGATGTCTATGGGCTCCAGTAACCACTTATCACTAGGTGGGCTGTGAGCTCGTCCACCCATCTAAGCAATAAAAAAATAAAAACTCTCTTTTTCTCCACCTTATCCCACTATGTGGGGTCGGCACAGCTAATTTTTCTCTTCCATTCTCTTCTATCAGCCGTCATCTCAACACTCACTCCTCTCTCTCTCATATCGTCATTCACACACTCCATCCATGTCTTCTTCGGTCGACCTCTTCCCCCTCTACCTTGCACTACCATTTCCATACATCTCCTAGTCACATGCATCTTCTCTCTACGCATCACATGTCCATACCACGCTAACCGTCTGCTCCTTAATTTGTTGTTTACCGGGGCCACTTTCAAACTTCCTCTGATATACTCATTCTTTATCTTATCCATTCTTGTCACTCCACACATCCATCTCAACATTCGCATCTCGGCCGCATGCACTCCTCTTTCATGCTTAACTTTCGTCGCCCAACACTCAGATCCATACAGCACGACAGGTCTAATGATCGTTTTGTAAATTTTACCCTTGAGCTGAAGGGGCATTCTACGATCGCATGCTGTTGCAGAGACCTGTCGCCATTTCATCCAACCAGCGTTTATTCGATTTGTGACGTCCCGGTCTATGTTGCCGTCGTTCTGGAGTATAGAGC